GAGAGGAGCTCAGCCTGGTACCTCAGGCACAGACACTGTTGAATTATGTAAAACTCTGGATCCAAATCCAGATGCAAACATTGGTCCCCTTCTTTATTATCATAGGTCAAAGCAAACCCCTAGATCAGGGCACTTGTTTCTATTGAGCATCATTTTGAGATTGTGAGTTTGTTCAAATGAAACAGAAGTGGATGTACGTTGATGGACGTGAAGGGAACATTGTCTTGAAACCCAGTGAAACAAAACAGCTCTGTACAGCATTTCAGATACCCCCTACCAACTGCTAGACACAGCCCCAAGATGCTTGTCTGGAATGTTACTATTAGAAAAAATAGCTGTGCTTCTCATAAGAGGTACAAGGAATCCCACTGATCTTGTTATATGAGTGTAAGATGGTGAACTCAGCTCTAAGCTGTGGCCTAGATCAGGTGGAATAATTATTATAGGGAAGAAGAGTAACCTCCAGGGTACTGAGTGATAGATTAAGGCATGTGGGGTTTGAGTCAAGCCGAAGTAGCACTCTCTTAGTACATTAGGGGAGGAGGGAATGGGGGTACTCATGGCATCAGGGAACTCCCTTCAAGGAATTTGAAAGTTCCTTCAAATGCTTCATTAGTTGTCACATTAACCCTTTCTCACCCCATCTAGAAACACCAAGCGCACAGCTGAAGTGTGGATGGATGAGTTCAAGCAGTATTACTATGCTGCCCGGCCTGCAGCACAAGGAAGGCCATATGGAGAGTAAGTCTCACCTCTACTGGTGGAGGGAAGTACAGAGGTGTGCCTACTTCCCCGATGCTATGAAAGTGCATAGAAATGTTACAGAAGCAGCATGTCCAGCTCTGGAAAACTCTCCAAACTGTTTCTGTAGTAACCATTAAGTGCTGATAGTAGGACAGGCTGGCCAACCTACGGCACATGCACCCCAAGTGGCACAGGCAACTTCCATGTATGCAGCATGCCACAGATCAGAGAGGCAGTACACTGGCAGATAGGGCAGGAAGCAGAACAGCAGATTAAGTAGGGGAAAGGGGATTTAAGGGGAAGTTGTGGGGAGGAGGTGGAGCAAATTTGTGGTATGTCTGGCAAAAAGGTTGGCCCCTGCTGTACTAGGGATGCTACATGTAAAGAAAAAAATCCCGTCTCCCAAACAAAAACAACTAGTTTGTAAGGAGTGTTAGTTTATCTCTGGGGCTTGGATTCTTACTGGGGTGAAAACCATCAAGCAAAGTCCTGTTCTTGACTTTATTGCTCTAGTCTTAGAACTATATTTTAAAATTGCAATTTAGAAAGGAAGCTGATAGCAGAGAAAAAATCAGTGAGTTCCTAACCCAGATATGACTTCATGGAAGCTGAATTACTGCTTTATATTCCACTAGGGCAGTTGTGCTTCTCTCCTCTTTAATCATGGACAGTCAGGAATTCTCCCAATAAAAAATGGATGGATTTACTGGCAGCAGTTCCTCCAGGAAGATAACATCCAGACTTGCGTTCTAATCCCCTGGTTTCACATGCTCCTCACTTCCTCCATATTTTTGCTGTCTAACTTGGACAGTCCACATAAACTTACAGTTCAAATATAAATTGCTAGAATAAATTCCTTTTGGTTGTCTTTTAAGTTTCTGAGAAACTAGATTAAAATACTGTGAAGACCAGCCCATTCATGTTAAATCATTTTCTCCTCTCTGCTATCAGAGAAGGGAAAGAATAGCTTTCTCACAGTAGGCAAATAGGGCTGCAGAAAAAAGAGGGGGATCTGAGAAGGGG